CTACGCTATGAGGAGATATGAAAGGATATGATGTTTATTACATGATAACTTTTCTTCCTAGTACACTTATGTATAAATTCCGTGACGGCTTTGTACTTATGCAGATTCAGGCAAAATATAAAGTGTTCTTCTTGCTAGGATAGACTTGCCTGGGTAGTTGTATTTTTCACCAAAATTACATAACAATGTAATAGTATACCATATAATGTACAGGTTCGGTAGATTTGGTATATTTATGACGCCCTATTCAATGATCACTGTGCAATACCAACATGTTTTTTATTGTCAGGTTTTTCTAAAGGTGTAGACTCCAATAGGGAACCTTTTTGAGGTTTTTAATGTCTCACCTTGGGGCACACAAGAGTGGGGGTCTGACTCCCCTTTAACAGCCCTGTCGTTAGAATAGTCTATATAATTATGTAGGCTTATTGCGAACATCATTTTGCAACATACTGGATTGTTTTCAATATTTGGTAAATAATTGACAGACAGTGCCCTTTCAATCATTTTTTTTTATGAAAATGAATTAAAAAGATATTTGTCTATTACACGTTGCCTGATAACTCTACACTTGGCGTGTTTTTAAGGGCGTTTTATTCTATTTTCACATCTGTTGTCCTATGCTTTCAACCTAGTACGTGTTATATTGTCCAAATAAAGAATAATAAATGTAGTTGCATAGAAAGGCATTGACTACTATATTCTATGTACATCATGCCACAATTTATGAAGCCAAAATTAAGTTTGTTGTTTTGTTACGTCTGATTTTAACAAATGATAAATAATGGCATATATAATGAGATGTCGTAGTTACATACAGGCAAATAATATATTAATCATGCCTCCTGGCCAAAGCTTCTCATATAACACTGGATTCTTGCTCCTATTAGCAACAGTTCTCGAAGTGTTAGCTATGTACATTAAGGATTACACCATATATGATTACATGTTCATTGCCTTTATTGTGGCCACATTTGTTTCTCCCTGCAACAACGAATACGATATTACATATACACTGGTTGCACTGGTTGCTCGTCCAAGACATGTAGTAAGTACAGCACCAGAAGCAAAATTTCTCTAGATATTATTAGAATTATGCATATAAATTATGTCACCTGACACCCTCGCAACAACCATTATGTTATGGGCATTTATATGTCTATATATATATATATATATGTTTATATGCATCACGGAGTATTTGAAGTGCACATACTAATAAAAAAAACTATTAAAAACCACTACAGTGCATATGTTAAAATTTACAGTATGTCATTTATCCACAGGCTTAAATCGTCTACAAATACTTTCAGTGATATAAATCCGGGGGCGTGTGACTCAACACTTTTCCATAAAGAAACAGTTGAAAGCTTCAATTATACTAATGTGGATATTATTTATTGCCATGTACGTGCTGGTTCTTTAGTAGTTGCATCAGTGACCATCGATTTAAACATATAACAATCGTCATGTGAAAATGAAATGATTTATTTTAAAAGGTGATACACAAATACGTCACATCATTTATGGGCATTTTATAACCACACATAATTGACCATGTATTGAGCAGAAAATGCAAATTTCAGTCCAGAAACACTAGTCCTAAATATGAACATGCGAAATAGTATGTTTTCACTTCTCTCTTGTGTGGGCTGTGATAAAAATAATTTGCTTTATCACAGTAATTGCTTGATTGGTATTATTATGTAAATACAGAGTGTTATTCAATAATACACAAACATCAAATAAACAGATGGTTTTATTTTCCTCATTTGCATATCGAATTACCGAGTATATCTTGAAGGATACATAAAATAAAGTATACCATTCGTGTGCTCTCTTCAAAATATGCCAAAACGTTATTCAAAATAAAAAAGCATAAAGATATATATCTACAAACCTATCTATCTCTAGTCTTATACTAGTCATATATTATAAAATCTTATACTCATTACTATAAAAAATTCCCATAACATTAATATTCATAGAAAAATTATACTGAAATTGTTGAGTTCTCAAATAAGAGGGTTCCACAATAATATTCAAGTACAGACACTACAAGTAATCATAGAATTCACAGAACGTAGCACAGTGAAATTATTTAAATCGAATCAGAATTTTTTTTTCAAAATCGTGCTAATTATTTTATCATTCAAGACTGTAAGCTACAAAAATGACACATTGGGATGTATTCGATGCAAGGTGCACCCTGCTTGGTCTTGAAAAGTCATGGCGTGTACCGTACTAGTGTAAGAGCAGTTAGAACACAGATATCTTTATACAGTTGCCTGCATCATGATTGCTTCTTTCTTGTCCACATTATTAACTGATAGTTTTGCATATGTTCTGAAAGTAATTAAATAATTAGCACAAATCAGTACCACGCCGACCTGTATAACAACAAAAGCTTGAACAATGCGTGCAAAATAACTTGAAGAATAAAAATAAAGACTCACTTTCCAAACATTTCACCTTCTTCCAGTGTTTCGGGTAGTTTCTGATGACGTGTTTCTGGCAACAATAATGTCACTAATCCAGCTAAAATTGACGTTGCGCCGAATATGATAATTGGTAAAGGTTCCCACAGTGTTTTGATTAATATCATCTGTGGTGCCAGAATACCACCAATACGGGCACACATTGAGGAAAGTCCCATTCCTATGGTTCTGTGTAAAAAAGGGTAGGTAAAGTCAAACGAGACAAGACAATAATTACACTGCAATTACTAAAACACATATTCCAAATGCTGCACATTAACATATATTCTAATGCAAAATAATGAACAAATTGTGATATTGGTTACTAAAACTTGGTACGAAGTGATTTAACATAGCAAGTGATATGATTGAGCCATCTCCAAAATTCAGTTAACATTTAGCAATAGTTTTAAATTTTACTTTCACATGACTTTAAATTGAAATTGTGAAGAAATATACAACATGGATATATAATACATTGGAGATACATTCTTAATGCTGAATGTATTGAAAACGAAACAGATATCATTTTAAATCAACAAGTGAGAATCTCATCAATAATTATTACAAATACTCCTGTCAGTTAATATCACATATTCACTGTTTCTCACAGATTTTACCATGAACTGCAACAAATTCTAAAAATTATGTACACGAAATCGGTAGACATTAAGGATTAATTATGATTAACTACTTAGGCCTTTTTTAGAGTAACAGTGTAACACCACATGTTACATTATGTCTTTAATATTAGTGGAGAGGTTTCAAATTGTATTAATGTGCCGCTTATATTTTCTAGACACACCATGTACAGCCCATGTTAACTCAATGCTAATTTCGAGGAAAACTTGACACCAATTATCTACCAAAAGTTGTGCAAGACACATAAAACATTATTCATTTTTTTTTCAAAATACTGTTGTCTTCATTGGAAATGGCTCTGTCCATGTTCAATGTTTAGTGACTGTGTCAATTACTAACAATGATGTAAATAAGACGGATTATAATTAATGAGTGGGAGGCATTCATAATGTTAAAAATGTGATGTTACTTCGAACGGAATCCATGTTTTCTTCAGTCATGTGAAGCTGCCGAGATTAAGATCATATATCAATCGAAAAAAATTGTAAAATGCACGCATAAACCATCTAAACAAATTGGACCAAATAACAAAACAATACACCATGTTTGTTGTCAGGTAAAGCATGTAAAATATGAATTTTGTTATTCATTTCTTAATTTTTATCGAAACCGGAAAATTAAGCTCCGTAAAATATATCTCAAAATCAGGCAGAACATGTGTAGAGAAATTATATCTAGTCATTTATTTTGATTTAAATCACTGAACTAAACTTGCATCAAAAACTCACCATGAGTTTTGATCATTACTAAAAGCGAACTTCACTTTAAACTACACTTGATTCCCGCGACTAATATGTCAACACAAATATAAGCAGAGCATTTTTAATAGGTAATATTTCAATGTTATAAATGCAACTTTGACTATCTTTCTTGAAATCACAGGATATTATTTTTCACTACGCGCTAAATTTATCTCTTCTTGTGATTGCTGGTTATACTGTAAGTGACATAAGATCGCCATGTTTAAAAACATATATCAATATATCAAAAACAATTGTAAATATCACCAAGATAATTTTAAAATAGTAATATTTACGTGGAATATTTAGGCAACATTATATTGTATTCTATTGGCTGACGTCACGTTTTAAGCAGTTTCATTAGACAGTTTCACTTTCAAACACATGGAACATGTTGTTGATATTTCCAGTAGACACTCTAAATGATGCGTTGATGGCGTCAAACTACAATTACTAACTGCATCTTACCTTACAGGAGTTGGGTAGATTTCAGCAGAGAATATATAGACAATGGCAAATGCGGCAGAAACAGCAAATTTACCAATCATCGCCAAAGTGATACCAATCCATTGCATTTCACCTAAAAACAAAAACCACTTTGTTGTGTACATTTCTTACGAAAAGACGGGTACGCCTAAAGTGTGGAAAATTGTGATTACACGGATTTCTACGCCATAATATATTTGTCGTGTTATTGACACTTTACTGAATATAACTGTCATTTTTGATAGCATAACGGAATCGATATGAATTTGGGACACAGATATATGTAATGTTACAGAGTATTACAATTATACTTACAAACTGGTGCGAATAATGTAAGTATACATGCGACGCCCGCTAATATCAATGTTGATGACTGAGACCATCGTCGTCCAAAACGAGTTTCAGGAAGAAAGATTGCTAGTGTATAAGCTGGTATTTCCACTGCTCCCGACATGAAAGCATTCAAGTAGTCGTTACCACCTAGATTGGACGTATTAAGTGAAAGCCCATAGTACACTAAGCTGATAGTAAACCTGTTTCAATGACAAGACATGAACACTTTTAAAGATTACACTGGTTGCCTTGACTGACAAAACCTGTTGTTTTTGTTGTGTTTTTCTTACCAGTTGTAGAAGAGATTCAAAGATTTCTTTCTCATGTTCGACAGTCGAATAAGATCAAGGAAACTCCCAGCATCTCTGTTCTGTAAAAGGTGTAAATACAATGAATCATGTGTGTATGTTAACTACAGTTTATGTACATGTAAATCTGCACACAAAAACTGTTAAAATTTATCCTTAGTGACAATCGCACGAATAGAATATATATATAAATATATGAACGAAATAAATAGGTGCCTGGGGAAAGCAATATATTAATAATATAATTACTGTGTGAATGACATATACACACGACTAGAGCAATGTTCTTGCTGCCTTCAATACACATGCAAATCTAAAATATATTGGCACAGTCGATAACATAGATGTAAAAGTACCTTATAAATCTCCATTATATGCGGACAACTCTTCATACACGCTGCTAGGAACAGTAACTTTATTCACTTCAGCACACTTTTTAATGATTGTCGCTGCCTTTTCGTATTTTTCTACTGAAATCAGCCATCTTGGTGACTCCGGAATAATCCTTAGAGTGAAAAAGATAAAAGATGTAGATACATGCAATGTCATCAACATACTTAGTTATTTATTATCAACACAGAGTATATATCTCTATACATTACATATGATTTGCATGAAATAAGACGCCTCACCTCACTTATATGCATGGATAAATTTCTGTGGCAATGTGACAAGTTATGGAAAACATTGCACGTACGTTTGTACAATTTGATGCATATCATCAATCACAGCAAAAGTCTGTCAATTGACATTGACCATCGTGATTATGCATATTATCCGAATACAATAGTCATCGTTGTGAGCCATATTGTGATGGTTTAAAAGTCCTTAACACACATAGATAACAAATAGAAATATTCTTTTTATTAAAATAACAATTATTATAATTGAAAGTTGCTTTTAAACTTGAATATAACTTACCACCAATACAATAAGAAAATCGTGGCCGGTATTGACAAGCACAATTGTAGTATCCACCAGTATCTGATGAAGTACGCCAGAAAAGCTAATAGCATATATCCAAAACTGAAGTAAAATTCTATCACAGCTCCGGCGAACACTCGCTTTGAGGGTCCAACAAGTTCGGTAGCTAAAGTGTCATATTGAGAATGAAATAAATTGGTGTTTATATACTATCCAAGCTTATAATACAATTAAAGAGCATTGAGCACCACTTAATTGGCATAATCTTACCTAAAACGAAGGACACCATGAACATTCCCATGTGTGAAGCACCTACAAATACCCTGAATATGGAGTAGGTTTGGATATTTGGTGAGAATGCACAGGCTGTTCCTGGAATCGCCATGCACAATGCAGATAACATCAAAGTAGGTAAACGCCCAATCCTGAAATATATGTGAAATACAAGAATGTCATGTCGTCCTGTGAAATATATGAGACTACATCTGATACAGTGTATTTCAGACACGAACGTCATGTCGTCCTAAAATGTTTTCCATACTTCATTATTTTGTAATGTTTTAGATAATGTATATGGTACAGATATATTGTTAATTCAATGTGCATAAAGATCTATCGAACATCGGATTTAATAGGTGTATGGCGCTACTATTTGGTCGTTCACTAAGTAAGCACAAAGTTGAATATTATTGAATATTAACTAACCTATCAGAAAGAGCCCCGAATCCTACTGCTCCAATGAACAAGCCAGCCATATACGCAGAAGATGATAGTGCTCCCAAGTAATATCGACCACAAACTAAATCAAACTACAATAAAAATACATTTCACCTAATATAAATAGTTCACAAACAAAACAAAATTATAACAACTGCGTTCTCATAGATCTAAATCTTGAGAATGGATATGGAAAATTGGTGCGAATAGTTTACATCGAGAAAATTTTAAAATGAAAATTGATCAACAGACATAAAGATTCATAATTAAAATACTTATAAAAAAACAGTCACATGAAATAAACAAACGGTTAATTATTCATTATGTAAATGTTTTGTAAAACCTAGATTTGTTCTTGCTTGCTTCATGGGGGCGTCCAATAGTCGCGTTCATCTTCATAATATATATGTACCTGATAATTGACATTACCCTCTAAATTCCACTGTTAGCAGTGGAATCAGTAACTGAAGACCCTTTACAACACGAAAATGGGAATGTATACATTTACTTATCTGTGTTATTTTCTAAAGCTATTATTATACGTACCTCTTGAAAAACCGTTGATTTGTACTGTGATCGGTCATATATCCATCCATGATTACATTTTATAGTATAATTGGTGTATGTCTTGTTTTCATAGCGTTCACAATTACTGTAAACCAAACCACTGTCACACTGATTAGAGCTCTCTTCTAATGGTATACTGTGGTTCTTCATCATATCTTGGCAAAACATCACCGAGTTGTTCAAACTGCAACCATCTTCATCCAACTCTGGAACATAGCACCAATGATCTGTCTCAGCGGCTAAAAACACTTGGGCGAATGCATGGCTCGCTGGTAAGATGGCCATGAGGCAAAGTAGATAGTAACATCGTTTCTGATATGTCCCAAATTCACCAAGATATTCAAGTATGTTATCAAACTTTCTACATGTATGCGTGTCTCCCCCAAGCCTCTTCATACTGATATGTCGTACTATATACTCCTAGATGTTACATGAAACTGAAATAATAAAAAAAGTGATTTCATCTAAAAACATTGTCATTTATCATATAATAGAACAAATGGCACTAGCATTGCCAGAATAAGGTGTACATGAAACAGAATTCGAATGCAGTCAGCGAAGACAATCAACTTAGATTCTTGAACTGTCCACCTAATTATATATTGACCAGACCTATCACCGTGGGCGTCGACACTGATAATCTGTTATAAGATGGTCCAAATAATTATGTATTAGCGTACGCCTGATATCCGTCACTGGAGCGCGTGCTTGAATGGTAGACTACTGTAAGTAGATTATTTCTTTCTGTGTTTAATAATACATAATTTCACAAAAACGTTGGAAAGCATCAGCACAAGTGCTCAATCAGCGAGAAATTGTATGTACTCGTAACATCTTACAAATAAGGCAACTTTATGTTGCGGAACTATGTTCACTCGCAGACTAAGGATTACCAAGGTACAGTCTCATGGAATGACTAGCAGCCGAACTACACTAAGCTAAAACAAAGCAACGTAAGTATGCACTATTTCCCCCAGTTATAATGCCCTGACAAAATATATATAGGCGCGCGTATCCATGCGATGAGAATATCCAAACGAAAGGAAGAAAAGCGTGTCATGTGATATGTAATATCAAATATTTGTGGTTCATATTGGATAGCCATTATATGTAAATCTATCGCGGTCAATCCGGAATCGAAAATAATTAAGTTCAAATATCGCATAACACCCTTAACCAGTGTTTTTTTAAAACACTACAAATATCAATATCGCCTGTTTACTACTTCAGAAAGTATCTCTCCTAAATTGAATATTGCAAAATAACCAGCCTTTATCTGTCATAACTTTGTCGTCTATAATTATGTTCACAGAGTAGCGACCTATAGGTGTCCAATCACGGCCATGTGTTATTTGTAACAATAATTATTGGCTTCCCAAAACATAACACACACACACATATATTGGGCATAATGAACAGTTCAGTCTCTTTAATCATAATCTTATGGGCTCAGAAAGAAGACACTCATAATGAAAAAACTACAAATGCAAGAAAAGTGTATTGCAATCAGTAAGAGATTCAGGGTGGGATGGTGGGTATCAAAAGTACAGCCTGGAAAACGCATGCACAGACAACATGCATACATCAATATACAAAAGATGTGTCAACCTGCACCTCGGACTGTGAGGGTGTTATATGTTACCAATGACAATGAAGGTGCTAACACACAAAAGCCAGTAATGTCCTTTAACAAACACTGCGCCGATGCCAGATTTTAAATTGTGAACGGAAATTCAGAGGGATGCAAATGCATTCGAGAAAGGGTGGACTATCCAGGGGGATAGAGTGTGATGGAAGTTCGATCTGCTTACTATATTTTTTTGGTGATAAAGTGTCTAGTCCATTGGGTCCATTGTGGCTAGATTCGTTTTCATAAATTTAGGTTTGAAATATATTCTCCTCTAATATTTTTCCGATATCGAGTTCATGTTCGCACATTCCAATCTCACGCTGTTAGACTTATGTTTAGAATCAACAACTTACATGTTTAGGGTGGAGATTATAAACATATATAACATGAATAGATTGTTTACTTATAGTATTTAGTTGTGGCTTTAACCGTGAGACACATCCCTGGTAATCACGTGACCGTGCCAATCACTGCAGTGATTGGCTGATCGCATGTTTACCCCGCCACGCCTTAGTGACTTGACTTTTAATGGAGAGAGTTTGTAACCTTTGTTTGAGGGAGAACATGAGAACGGCACAGCGAAGGGTTACCTCAGCTGACTGTTTGTGTGAATAAAGCTGGACTATTTGTAATGAACTAATATATATTCATTTGGCGAATCTGGTATCCCTACGTGTAATAAGTGACATCAGCCAAGCGAGACGAAGTTCCCCGATCCCCGAACTCAACGCCTGTGTCCACAGCAATATTCTGCCTATCATTAATGTAAAGTCGTTCATCCTAAACGAATCCGTTACAAAATCATGAAATCCATCCCGGCAGTCAGCCAAGTGTGTGTGCTCTGGGAAAATAAATATTCTAATTTGCGATAATTAATTAAATCATAATGTGATTTGTTTTTAAGTATCATGAATTTAAGGCAAATTGTCCTGTTGTACGGACATGGCAGGTGATATTTGTCACAATAATTAATATTACATATCACAGAATACATCTTTTGACCATTTGAATTATTGGGCCATTCATGGCGATCAGTGGATCAGTGGTGTAACTGCCCCCTCATCGGCAAACTAATAGAAACAAAACGAAAACATCCTTAGAAATTGTTAAT